TGGTATTACTCTTTGGTTCAGACAGAGCAGTGAGCTTTGACTCTGTAGCTGCTCGAACTCAGTATGCATCATGGGTAGATGCAGTGTGAGCTGCGCTGCGGGCATGACCCTTATCTCACTGCTCTGCCGATGAAGCAAACACATCCTACTCGCATGCACATATGTCACTTCAGTGGATATATTCTAATTTAAAAATGTTTGTGGAGCATGTGGCTTAGGTCTTGCAGGAAATTTAGAGCCCGGCATGCAAAAAAGAAAGGAAAATGCCTGAATCCATCTGCATTTGATATATTTAATACTGGTTTGTATTCTTCAGAAAAAGTAAAATTGATCTGATTTTCACCAATAGTTTTATATCTCTATTGAGATATTTATTTATTTATTCATGTCGTCAGTCTATTTCCATTTTATCAAAACCTTTTTTTCTCCCCAGTATCATTAAAATAGTGTTATTTTTTAAAACACTATTACAAGTTGATATCTATGCAGGCAGAAACTTCCACTGTCAGCTTCTGATAAAGTACTGATTCAGTCAGTGCTGGCCACTCTTCCAAGAAAGTAATTTAGATGTAGAAGGAGACACGCTTTTCATAGCTCTGTTTTAAAGCTTTGTTCATGCAAAGTCATGTTCATAGTACTAATTATTTTAAATACTTTATTTCTATTTTCACTATTTAGCAGCTTCATGGTATGCTTTTCCATAAAATACTGGCAAGAAATCTTTCTTTTTTTTTTTCTAATGTGACATATAATGAATCTCTATTTTCTGCTGAGACAGGAATGTGATACTACAATTGTAGTCTGAAAAACAAAAGGTTATTTTCAGCTGTTTTCCATTGACCTGGTATTACAGGATTGCAATACTGGACGTATTGAGGTTCTGCCTAGTAATATGCCATTATGTGTTGCAGGGAGATAAACTAAATTCATCCACTAATTTTTTTTAAATCCTGAAATTATCAGTAATTCCACTGGACATGTAGATGGCAGATGCCTCAAATCAGAGACCTGCATTAAGAAGTTCTGTTCCTAATCCTAACTGGGGCAGGGTCAACGTTATATGCTCTGTTTTTTGCAGTGTAGTGAATTTAGACTTAGCTCTTTTTTATAAGTCATGGTTAGTTTAAAAGCCTCCTTTTACAGAAGAGGAAACTGTTGAACAGAAAGTACCTCTTTTGTTTCTGGAAATGGTAATTCCTCTTAGAACTACAAGGTGCCTGCCTTGAGATAACTGGAATTTGTTTTTGGAGGTGTTCTGTGCCCCAGTTGCTGCTGATTTGAGTTTATGTTGATGCAGAATCCTCAAGGGGGCAGTTCTGGAAAATCAGGTCCTAAATATCTCAAGTTAGAAGTCCAAAATCAGCAATTTTTGAACATTTGGATCTGCTTGCCATGTTCTTTGTGATAGAGCTGAGATTAGAAGCTAGGTGCCCTGACTGGTCAGCAGACGTCATTGCACAGCCGTCACCTGTCTGATGACATTCCAGTTTACATTGACTTGCCGTTTCCTTGTCAGTGGGATATAAAATGGTGTTGGCTGGCTCTCCCTGACTAAACTGTTGCTTTAAAAGCGTGGAGGAAGGTAAGCGAAGAAACAGCAGAAGCTGTGTGAACTCTCATTTGCTTTGTCCTTATTTGTAAATGCATTTCTGGAACTGCATAGTAATAACATGGCTGCTTTAGAAGTCCTTGTATTTGCTCCTCGTTCTTTGGTAGATTTGGATGGAGAAGAGGTGATAAATTCAGGTTTGCAGGTTTGATCTTTCAACCAATACGCAATTCTTAGCTCCAGGACAGCGTGCAGTCTGGCCTAAGAAGCTGTTAATATGGAGTAGTGCCTAGTCTTTTCATATGTGATGATGATAAAAGAAAGCATGGAAATATAAAAATGGGTAGAAGCAAACAAGGTGGGGGACAACACAAAATGGTTACTGCTGGAGAACCTAAAAACAGCTGCTTTTGGTTATTGAAGAGATAAGGAAAAGAGTAAAAGATCACAGGAATTAATATATAGCATTGGTGGTGAGGAAAGGGCAGGAGAAAAATCGTCTGCTCATCCATACAAAAAAAAAGAGCGTGTGCGCAAGGTGGACACAAGATGAGGTAATGTTGCGCTGGAGAAGTGTCTACCTACTCCCCCAGGCACAGGGGATCTTACTTGAATTGTTGTAAGCCTGCAGCAGAGTCCCTGACATCTGTGCGTTTTGACGTTTTCCAGTGGTTCCATCACTGGAGAGGTGAAAAGTCCTTCTAAACCTACTGTGCTTGGCTCACGTCTCAAATCTGATGTAGCTCATGAGAACCCTTTTCTCATGCAGTATTTCAGAGTAGAGGTGGACAGAATGATCGTCAGTTACGTACTGCTGTTGCACAGTGCTCTGTTTGCACTTACTCCGTGGTGGTGGAGCAGTGAATTTTGTTGTCCTTAAACGTCGCACAAGAGCTGTTTATTGAAATAGTTCTACTTTTTGCAAACATACATAAAGTAGCAATAAGAAGAAAGCAAAGCTGTTTTTCCTTGCCAGTGGATTTTCCCTTTTATGAAATTATTCTTACAAAGCTTCTGCTGATTTTAAATTGATGGAGAAGGAAGGGCTGAAGAGGAGAAAACCATCAAATGTGCAGTACCAATTGTGCACGCTTGTTTGCTTTAAGGGTCTGTCATGCGGTTGTGCAGGAGGCAGCATGTTGTGAAAGATAATTACTTCCCTGCTTCAAAGGTCAGACGTGATGGCAGGGAATAGGCCTACGAGCAAAATGAGATCGAGCATTGCAGTCATTCAAGGATCATATTTACGTCTGGAAAAAGTACAAAAGACAAACTAAAAATAAAGAAGAAATCCTCAAACTGTAATCAGAGTTTGAGGCAGACCGCCTTTGAATTTTTTCTGACCAGCACTGTAACCTTTTTAAAGGTTATTAAAATCTTTAGAAAGGTTATTAAGTGATGCATGGAAGGAATCGTTATTAACATGTTCACATGAGAGATAAAACGATTATTTAAAAGTTCACAATTTAAGGGAGAGGAGTGACAGAAGAAGGGGGGAGACACTGATGCTTGTTGGCTTCCTGCTTATTATGCCTGGATTATGAAACAGATATGCCATGCTTGTTTATAAATAGGCTTTTAATTAGGAACCGCTGATGAACAAGATAGTGTGGCCTCACAAGTCAGCAGAAGAAATGTATTTTAGTATCAAAAGAGACAATATGAAATATTTTAATTTAATACTAATTATTTTAATGGATACTTTAGAGAGAGCGATTAGTTTGTTTTCAATGGGTGGTTACACATTTTCAATATCGGCAGCAAAACTCTGGATAATTTATCATTTTTAAGTTGAAAGCCAGCTGAATCATTGAGGGAAAGGGATTTAGTTTCCTGTCAGCTTCCTTTCTGGAAAAAGTGATGTGTGCAGGCTGAAAATATTTCCAGCTTGGGTGAAGTATGTTTGAAAATGCCTTTGGGGAGAGTCGTATTTTGATGGGCGAAGAAAGGACTTGCTTTCAGTTTTACGTGTTTCTAGAAACATTTTGAGAAATCTAAGGGGCTTTTTTCTCCTCCACTTACGAAAAAGTACACGCTGTTCAAGCTGGAAGAGTTGTGACAGCGTTAACCTTGAGCTGCTCTGGCAGCGCAGCCCAGCGGAGGATGTGCTTGCAGAAATCGCTCTGTACTTTGAACTGTCGAACGGGCTCGTGTGTGTGTGTAGCAAGGATGGCGGCATTCACTGCTGAGAGGCGGCAGCAGGCCTTTGCTTTTTAAGTTTGTATACACAGGCGATGAAAGCAGCACGTGAAATAAAAGGCACGGTGAGAGCGTGTGGACTTGTGTTCCTTTAGAGGATGTACCTGTTCTTAAAACAAAAGGTAGGG